GTGAGGTTAAGTTATAAGCCTCATCGCTATGTTGCATTAGTCTAGGTTGTGTGTCATACTCACTTGGTACGTTAGTCCTTCCTTAGATTTAAGTTTACGTCTGACATTGTTCTTAGAGTGTTTAGTTCTCATTGTCTGAAAATTTTTTATTTGCCAAAACGTTGCCCGTATATCCATGTCATTTGTTGAAATCCCCTCGTATGCTCAGCTATAATGCAGGATATGTTTGCTTGTACGCATTCTTCTATAGTTGACTATGTTATTCCACACATGCTAACACAAAGCTTAAAGTCTCGCAGGCCAAGTAATAGATCTATGTTGGGTTGTATATAGCAGAAGTTCAGTTGTCCCATCTTTTTCAGTTCTTTCTCTTTTATGTGTTTTGTGGACCCAATCATTATTATTTTTTATTATTCTACTTTGATTGTTTATTTTGTGTTGCTAAAGAAATACATAGTTTTTTCTATGTTGACTAAGATGTTTATGCATAACTTGGATTTGAGTCCATGTTAGGCCCTTCGGATGTTAAATTTTCTACTTTCACAAATAAACATCAAATCATAAAAAATATTTTCCTACAAAAATTAATAATTAATTACATGTCTCTCAAAGTCGCCTTTTTAAAAAGTTGATCTCTAACTTCTTTGGTGTACCAAAGATGCATAGTCAACATTTGAGTAACTTGTCTATTCCATCAGCGATTTGCTTTTTAAGTTAGTGGAAACCTTTAGATTGACACACATATATGCATAGGTAGTCAGTCAACATACAACAACAACAAGAAGCCTTTATCCCATTATGTGGGGTCGGCTACATGAATCATTTTTCTCTATTGTGTCAAACTTATTTTTTTCACTTTTTTTTTATAACTCACTTGGGTCTAGATAAATAAATTTAAAAAAAATATTGTATTCACATATCATGTTTATTCATGATCGAGCCGCATTTGCTTTAGTAGTGATGTCACACATCTTATTTCATATATATTACACTTACCCTATCTTGTATATGTATAGAGTTTATGCAATTAGGTAGGACCTAGCTGACAATCATTTCCAAGTAGAATTGTAAGTCCAAAACATGGGCAATCTTAGGCTCATGTGAGGTTAAGTTATAAGCCTCATCGCTATATTGCAATAGTCTAGGTTGTGTGTCATACTCACTTGGTACATTAGTCTTTCCTTAGATTTAAGTTTAAGTCTGACATTGTTCTTAGAGTGTTTTAGTTCTCATTGTCTGACAATTTTTTATTTGTCAAAACGTTGCCCGTATATCTATGTAATTTGTTGAAATCCCCTCGTATGCTCAACTATAATGCAGGATATGTTTGCTTGTACTCATTCTTCTATAGTTGACTATGTTATTTCACACATGCCGAGTAGTCATTTTAGTATTTCTTCTAATAAAATAAGAAACCTCATTTTAAAAACCCAACATGTTCTAAACCTCAACAAAAAAAACGAGCAAACATTTTTAATCATGCGTATTATTAGGCTCCTCATCTAAGATGTATTCTTCTATAGTTGACTATGTTATTCCACACATGCCGAGTAGTCATTTTAGTATTTCTTCTAATAAAATAAGAAATCTCATTTTAAAAACCCAACATCTTCTAAACGTCAACAAAAAAAACGAGCAAACATTTTTAATCATGCGTATTATTAGGCTCCTCATCTAAGATGTATTCTTCTATAGTTGACTATGTTATTCCACACATGCCGAGTAGTCATTTTAGTATTTCTTCTAATAAAATAAGAAATCTCATTTTAAAAACCCAACATCTTCTAAACGTCAACAAAAAAAACGAGCAAACATTTTTAATCATGCGTATTATTAGGCTCCTCATCTAAGATGTATTCTTCTATAGTTGACTATGTTATTCCACACATGCCGAGTAGTCATTTTAGTATTTCTTCTAATAAAATAAGAAATCTCATTTTAAAAACCCAACATCTTCTAAACGTCAACAAAAAAAACGAGCAAACATTTTTAATCATGCGTATTATTAGGCTCCTCATCTAAGATGTATTCTTCTATAGTTGACTATGTTATTCCACACATGCCGAGTAGTCATTTTAGTATTTCTTCTAATAAAATAAGAAATCTCATTTTAAAAACCCAACATCTTCTAAACGTCAACAAAAAAAACGAGCAAACATTTTTAATCATGAGTATTATTGGGTTCCTCATCTAAGATGTAACTAGTTATGGAGGCCTGCACCTATGGGAAACTTGATCAACTAGAATAAAATAAAACCAATTTGATGTCAGATATCGAGTAGGAGAATTTTTTGGTTCATTCACATATATCTTTGTCTTTCGAGTTCGTAGAGTGAATTATCTTCTATTCTTTGGGGTTGTAAGGTCTCATATCTATTAAGTGCTCTAAAGACAAATGTATTTATGATTAGTTTGTCTTCTGTTGAGTCTTATGTCAAAGCATAAAGTTTTGTGATCGCTTCTATCCCTCAGGATGGTACGATCCAATCGTCTGTGACTCTCTCCCTTCTCTTTCCGAGCCACATGAGTCCCAATTGAGACCCACAATTCTCAAGAGTATGAGGGTCAAACACTTTAAACTTAATTCCTGATTTACATCTTAGAATGAAGTACAAACTTGTTGGCCAGTTGTTAATCATTATCACCACAGTTGGTCCTATTTATAAGATCTTCACATGTATTAAGATACTCAAACACTTATTGACTTCTCTATCATAGGGTCAATAATTAGTCATGTAAACTTTTATCATTATGGTGATAGTAATATTTAGACTTAAAAATTTCTTTCTTAGCAAATATGTTACTCCAAAAAATTTTAGGTGTTGGAGGCAAAAGAAAAGGGATGAAAATGATGTTAAAGGGTGTGAAGAATAAAAAAAATAAGTTATCTTAAGTGTTCGAGATAAAAGAAATAAGATATTGGAGAATTAGTACTCTCAACAAGGATCACCAAAGGTTTGACCTCCAAATTCTCACATCAAATGAATAAAATCAAATATCAAGTAACTATCGAAAAATGAGCATTTTATTCTAGAAAGGAGGCCATTTATAAAAATTAAAATTATCTTTTAAAAAAAATCAAAATATAGAGAAAAGTAGGTGACAATTTCAATAAGAAGCATTACACTTTCTTACTATATATTACATTTTCTTAATATATATGCAATTACATACACTTCCCATGCAATCTTTAAATGCTTGAATTCAAAATTCAAAGTTTCAGAACCTGATGTTTCTAAAAACATTACACTTTCTTACTATATATGCAAATACATACACTTCCCATGCAATTTTTAAATGCTTGAATTAAAAATTCAAAGTTTCAGAACCTGATGTTTCTAAAAAAGAAGTAAAAAATTTTGTGATGCCAAATTAAAGCATTAAATGGGCATGGGTGGGCTACTTGGCTAATCATTCTTCTTTTGTTGAAATGCTTTGGGCTTTGCTTGATATCTAATGAATAATCTTTGTGGGCTTTTTATTGCTCTCCTTGATTCACTCCAACATCCTCTTGTGCATCTTTAGTATGTAGCCTATATGAATTATCATAACGCGCTACATCAGTTTATTTGGATGTTGGGTTATGGAAGAGGTTCTCAAGTTTGTTGTGGAAGGAGATGGGCATTTTAGCATGACTCATTTGGCATGGAGGATATGACCATGGTATTATATAAGGGGTCATTGTCAATGGTAGGTATGAAGGAGTTTTGTAGGAAGAATAAGAAGAATGATGGGATATCACTACAAGGATATTATCTCTTTATGGGTCTCATGAAAAAAGAGACGGCAAGAAAGATAGACTCAATGAATTATGCATGATGGGAAAGAAATTTTGAATGCATTGCCGAGGAAAAGATAGCCATTTTGAGCAAGGAAGTAGCTAATGAAAATAGGGTTTGGTACAAGATTCAAGTTTATCTGTGGTACACAAACAAAGCCATGGTTAGCAGAAGCAGTTGAGCACAGGAAAATTAAAGTTGTTGTTAGACAAGCCAAAAAACTATCTATATTAAGAGAGGATAAGTGAGGGAGTGGGCATGCAATTTATGGGGTAGACTACCAAGAAAAATGCTTAAGCTCAATCTGAAGGTCGAATTGACAGATGGGACATAGAAATTAAGTAAAATAAGAAAAATTAAAAAAAAATCTTGCCAGAATATAAACATTTCTAGAATTAAATCAGATAAAAGAAAAAAAAAGCCACATTACACCACCCTCGGTTGCAGTATTTGTTGCAGTTAGAATCCATTTCAACTTACATTACAGTAAATTGGGGCTTTGCTTGGATACGACAAGAATGAAAGAAATTAATGAAATCCAAACAATTTATAAGTTGACTATTAATATAATGCCATAATTTGAAAGTTTTCTACTTTTTGTTCACGTCCTTTCACTCAAATTCCTAGGATTCAAACAAAGCCTAAAAAATATATCCGCAAAGAATAGCATGGCTCAAGAGCACAAATATGGTGAGAACTATGTTAGCTCGAACTACAAAGTCCAAACATTCAACATAAGAGACCATATTATAAATTTTACGGCAACCTGATGTGTGATAAGATTCTGGATTAATAACCAATACCTTTGCCAACCCGGTATTCTTAAGTTTGAGCCTGCCCACAAAGGCATATAAACAGGATATATTGATAAACGTGAAGCCATACACAGAAACAGAATCACCATGATTTTAGGTAAACAAATTCTTTTTTCGATTAAATACCTGAATCGATCGTCAACTTTATTGCCCTGACTTCTCAAATGGAGGTCTAAGATTCAAATTCTTGAAAAAAAAGCATACTATACTAAGCTAGCACAGCATTCATCAGTAAATTATAGCAGTTGTTAGTCGGAAGGTTTAATTCCGTTTAATCACCGGACGAAGAACCGATAAAACACAAAATAATATGCAGCAAGTCCCATTGCTCCTCTTAACCCTAACTTCAATTCAGCATCCGCTATATCTTCATTAAAAAAATTCGGATAATGCTTAATACGGATACCATCTCTCCACCGCGTTGGCCTCCTTATCGCTCTCTTCTCTCCTCTTCCTCACCATGCACGGTCTTATTTCTCCATGGCAGCGTTCACACTTGCCGCAGCGTAGCATAAATTCAGCTTCGCTACCAGCAGCAGACGCCCGCGTAAAGCGGCCGAACCTGGGTGGATTTCCGGCGGCCTTGCAGGGGCAACCGGAATTGGAGGAAAGGAAGGGTTGGAGAATCCGTCGAGAAAATCTTCCTCCGGATTTTAAGGAGCCAAAGACATTTAAAGTGAGAAAAGATATATAATTTTTTTTTAAGTGTAATTTACATACATACCATCCAATTTCTATATTCACATATCTAAGATCTAAACTTTACTCTCATTTTATTTATACAGGCCAAATTTTCATAACACTGCCTAAAATATATATCCACAAAGAATAATATGGTTCATGAGCACGAAGACGGTGAGAACTAACACCCATTTGGGGGCAACCTTGAGGGTGCATTGCGGCTAAGGAATGTGAATCTCTCTTGTTTGGATTTTTCGGACCGGCTATTTATGTTGCGACAAATATATAGGAGAATGATTGACGAAGCGAAAAATAGAATGAAAAAGTTCACACCATAAAAGAACAACACAGCAGAACACACAAATTTATATCGTTCGGCAAAATGCCTACGTCTACGGAGTTGCAGAGGATTTTACTACTTGAGGAATTTATATCAGTCGATCACCTCGACTTACAAGAGGAATCTCTCATTTTGTTGTTCTCTCTTCTTCTCTCTCTGTTCTTCTCTCTCTACACGAAGATACACCGAATAAATTTTACACTGAGATACACCGAAGAAGATAAACTTACACGAGAAGTAAACCCAATTTGTCTTCTGCCGCAAGCCACCAAGAAGAAGTAACGGGAAACACTCTTCTTCTTCTTTCTTCTTCCTTTTGCGGCAATGAACTACCTCTTGCACTTCTCTTCTTCAAATCCTAAGGAAGCACAAGGAAAACACAACCGCGACTTCAGAAACTTGAAGGATAACCGTGCTCTCTATTTGCAACTTAAAGGAGATTGAAGGCGGCGTCGTTTCACGATCCTAGAGGCAGAAGCAACGGTTATCGCGAAACCACAGGTCGCGGTAGCGACCTTTCGCGATCAGTCGTGGGAACGAAAAGCGGGAACAGTTCACGAACAAGGGAGGCGGGAGACGCAATCGGGAGCATTCGCAACGTTTCGCGAAATAGAGGAGGCAGGAGCGGGAGATCGGTCTCCAGCGCTAACAACTTATAGGAATAAGTCGAAGGAAACGGGGTCGCAGGTTAGACTCCACGGCCCGCGTTCCTTCGTATACATGTAACGGGGTTGCAGCTCTCCTGTCCCGTGATCCTTTCTCTTGCGTGTCTTGCCCTAACACTCCTCTCCTCTCCTGTGATCCTCACCGGGTTGTCTCTCTAGCGACATGCAATTCTCACGGATGGTACTATGCCTCTCGCTCTCCTCTAGGTTAATTGCTACGGTGAATTCTCCTCTCTCTCTCTCCCACTCCTCTATCTGCATTGCGGCTCTGTTTGGATCTTTTGATCTGTGTGCGATGGTACTTCTTCATGCGGTATTTTTTTATTGAAGTTCATTTGAGTTGTGGTTTCTTTGTACGGTGGTTCCTCTTCGTGTTGGGTAATTTTTACCTTAATTATGTTCTTATTTCTGATTTTGGAAATGTGTATGTGACTATATTATTTCAAATTCTTATTTAATCTTAAATAAGAATTTGTTTGCGTACTAATGATAGGTAAATTCATTTTTCATTACAAAGGAAAGAAATTAAAATAACACCAATAAATATTGAGCTCTTAAAAAAATACATAAAAACAAACGGATTGGCAATTATATTGATGATAATTCAAGTGTATTTGTTGCAAGTGCAAAATTAAAAATGAAGAAAAGATCACATTTTTGTATAAATATACAATTTAAATTCATACTTACCCAAGAAAAATATAAGGTGACAATTATCCCAAAATTTGGTGTATATGATGCTACTAATCATGAGTTCGATTGGATGCTTGAATAAAGGTTACCAATGAATTGATCAATGACACTGTATGTATGACTTTAGAGAACATTTCAAAGAAAGAAGTTAGTATCCAACTAGGGCTGTCAAAAAAGCTCGTTGTTCGCAAACAGTTCATGTTCGGTTCGTCAATGAGTTGGTGTTCGATTCGTTCGATAAGTAAACGAGATGAACGTGAACAAATTTTTTTCGTTCGGTTAGTTAAACGAACCAAACACGAACAGTGATGCGTTTGTTCGTGTTCGAATCGTTATTATTCGAAATATTAAATAATTTAAAATAATGATATATCAAAAATTTATGATATTTAAAAAAACTAAATTTTATAAATTATAATATATAATAAATTAATAATAATAATATATTAATATACTATATTAGTAATATACTAATATAGATATTATATATTT